GCTTCCCGCGGAGCTGGGAGCCCGATGCGGGGCTCGATCCCAGGACCCTGGGATCATGACCTGAGCCGAAGGCAGGCGCTTAACGACTGAGCCACCCAGGTGCCCCGAAATAAACTCTTGAATGAGAGTTTAAACTATCGTGATTTCCCTACCCATGTTAAGTCCTATTCTCTGCCCAGGAACTTCAAATAGAACTGCACTCACAGACCAACACGTGAGTTACAAAGAAAGAAAATCAAATCCAACAGATTTAATTTAGGGGGAAAAAGCTAAAAGTTGGAAACCCACGCAGAGTAGAGAAAGGAAAAGGAAGAAATTAAGGAATTGATACATCATGAAGAGATTTTATTATTATAATGATAGTCATGAAACTCAAATTTATAAGAGCCAAGATACTCCTCATCTTAAATCCATATCCTGAATATTTTATATTCACTATTTATAATTTTATTTATAATAGTTTATGACTTGATGCTGTATTTCATGCATCCATGCAAATTATCCATTCATCACCCATTCGCTGAGCATACATGGGCTGATACTGTGCCGGTTCCCGGGGTGTGAGCTGTGGTCCCTTCCCTCAAATAATTCTCAGTCTGATACAGAAGACGGACGTGTAAATAAAATCATTGCAGTGATATTTGGTAGATACATAATACAAATGGGTAATTTGAAATTAACTGAAAAATATTTCCATTTGATCAGTTTTCAAGCAATCATCCCTTACATATAGCTACAAAAACCATGAAACCTGAATGAAAATTAGGACAGGAGCCTGATCTTCGCGAAGTGTCAGAACCTCAGAAGAGAGGCTAGATCCCTCTTTCGGGTCAGATTCCCCAGAAGCCGGAGCAGAGACAGGGACTTAGGTCCCCCTGATTTATTGAGGGTGTGCTTGTGGGAGAAGAGGCGCGGGGGACAGGGGAAAGAACAGAGCAAGGATGTGATCTGCGCTGAAGTGTAGCTGATCCCACAGGGGGCTTGGGAACCTCCTTGTACCACCGAGCTGGCTGCACCTCGAGGCCAAGTGGTGGAGCCTGTGTGCACCCAAGTCATCCACCCCACCCGGCTCCCAGGGAGTGTGTTCACTTCCGGGCAAGTTGGCTGAGTCCAAGTTTCTGGAGAAAGGGACAGCTGTGAGACTTTAGCGCCAATACCACAGCAGCTGGTGAACGGGGCGATCCGGGCAGGGCACCTACAGTGTCCCTTTGAGTCCCTGACCCCGGATGTCCATAGGAGAAAGCCAATGCACATTTTCTGATTACAGACTAATGCAGTTATTTCCACACCACCAATATTGCGGCTCTGGGAAGATGCTTGACTGCCTGAGCCCTGGCCCTTTCAAAGTTCATTTTTCTCCTACAGCCAGATTAACATTTATATCTAAGACCAGGATGCACTACGAAGAAGCCCGGATGAAAGCTTTGGTCAACCTGGATGCTCCGTCTGCAGAAATAGCTTTTGTTTGGCAAGCCTAGTGAGACAGTCACAAATTTCCTTCAGTCACCCTATTTCATGATATATGCTTCCATGAAAATGTGTTTAGAGTCAAAAGTATATTAGCCATTCTAGAATATAAAACTGCCATTCTTTTAAACCATGGGATGGACTACACTTGGTAAACAAAGTCTTTAGAAGTTTCTAGAAGAAGTGAGTTACAAAATCCTATAGCTTGACAGGGACTCTTACCATCTGGCCCATCAGTTTGGTGCCAGGACTGGCCTCCTTGAAACTGCCTCAGACCAGTAACTGTAGATAACGAACCCCTGGTTGGCTGCCTTCATCCCCAACCCTAGCCTGTCCGGCTTCCTTCTGCATCTCTCTTCACTTGGTATATGTTTGGAGAACGCAGTCATTTTGGTATCAACTTGAAGAGACCACACTAGACAGGTGTGTATATGTCTTCATTGAGCAAATATTTATGAAGTAGCTACTGTGAATTAGACACTGTGGTAGGCACAGGTGTGAACGAGACAAGCACCGACATGCCGGGGCTTCCTCTCTAAAGGGGGGATGCAGACAGTTACACGGGAAATGGCAGTGTGGTCTGAGAGCTACTGGAAGCCGTGGCAGGTCACCGAACAGAAAAGCTCAGGGTGCCTGGAGCAGTGATCCTCAGCATCACCTGACCCAACCTCCTCTTTTTATTGCAAATGTTTTGTAACACTCTTTACTGATTTGAAATGCAATTCATGGGCATCATAGCCTACCTTCATACATACCTTCCAAAGAATGTCGATGTAATGTGCGAATACAAAGATACATAAAAGGAAAGTAATTTATAGAGGAACATTATGTACTTCAATATGTTTGCACACTGGCATGAATACGCCACAGACACAGGAGGCAGGGACATGCTCAAAGGTGTAGAATCCCTCAGTGTGAGACAGCCATGAAAGCAGGAGTGTTGCAAACATGTTGCAGTCATGTTTCTAAAACAGAGAATAAGGCTTTCTCACCTTATAATCATAAACAAAGATTTCTCCTGCATGGGTGTTCGGTGAAACATGGGCTGATTTTCCTTTGTGTCAAAACATCAGGGATTTCTGATCCGCACCTGCTAAAAGCCAATAACACACCTCATCTGATGGCCATGACAACCAAAACTACCCCTTGGAATTCCAAAATGCCCCTTAGGGGATGGCACCTCCCATACTGAGAACCACTGAGCCAGGAGGTTGGGGGGGAGGGGGACACGGGGGTAAGAGAAAGAAGCCACTGAAGGTTTGAAGGAGGGGTTATCTGAACAAACTGCCTTTTAAGGAATCACTGTGACTACAGGGTAGAAAACTGACAGGGGAAGGAGAAAAAGGGTGGAAGATGGGACATCTGTTGGGCTGCCACCGTGGTGATCTGGATGGCCTCCATTAGAGCAGTGACAGGGGGGTGAAGAGACATAAATGCATCCTAGACACATTTGAGAGCTTAGATGGACCAGGCTTGTGACTGACTTGATGTGTGGGGCAGTGGGCAATGTTGATGGCGAAGAGGCAAGTATCAAAGATGACCTTCTTCAGTCTTCTACACTGAGTAGCTTGGCAGATGCTGACACTCTCCTGCCAACAGGCTCAGGGAGGAAAGCGGGTTTCAGGTGTGTTGGTTTGCAGTGCCTGTGGGATGACCAGTAAGCTTGTCTGTGCAGATCTGGAGCCCGTAACTGAGACGTGGGCAGGAGGCCTGGGTCGAGATGTCGGCAATCTATACTGACGGTAACTGAAGGCACAAGGTCGCCTAGAGGGGGGTGTGGAGTAAGGGAGGGGCTGATGAGAGAACCCCGAGGAACCCAACATTGAGGGATGGGTGGAAGGAGAGGCGCAGCATTGGCGTGAAGAGTAAATGCGGGAGGAGGCAGTGAGGGTAGCAAGGAAACAGTGTTTCAAGAAATGTGGCCATCAAGGAGTCAAAGGGCAGAGACGGGGGCAGTGGCAGGAGGAATATAGGAGATCAAGGAGGTGATTTTACGGATGGGAGAGATTTCAGCACATTTAAATGCCATTTGAAAGGAAGAGATTAAAGAAAGAACGTATAATCCACAGAGAAGTTTCCTGAGGGCAGAGGGCACGGTGGCAGACATCCCTTCCCCTGGGACACTTCTTCGTAAGCGCCGAGCCAGGGACAGGGGTAGTACCTGTGCGCCCGGAGTTTGGGAGGCGGGAAGCGGGAGGCTCCATTTCCTCTGGGAAGCCAGAGGAGGAAGGGGCAGTGAGTGGTCCATCCGGGAGTGCAGGGAGAATGAGGATAGTGGTTTGAGGCATGAGACACTGTGAAATGGGCATCTGGGGCTGAGATTCCACCCCTGGCATGTCAGAGGGCAAAGAGAGAAGGACCGGGGGTGTGGATGGGCGTGGGGGGAGGGGATGGTTGAAAGGGTCCTTGAAGCAAAGGACCATGGGAACAAGGTTCAGTATGGACAAAACAAGAAGGCCAGGGGAGATTTATCTGGGCCCCCTGGTTCTCTCTTTTAACTTGACCTGCTGAATTAAATCTTAATTTCAGTGCTGACCAACTTGGTGTGACCGATTCTCTTATACCAACATGTTCTCCACTGCATCAGCCATGCCACTGAAAAACATTTAAAATGGTAATAGGTTATAACATAGGTAAAATCTTCTCAAGAAATATAACCGTATGGCTTTTCTTCACATAGGTTATCAAACTGTAGATGATCCCTCTTTGAGAATAAGCTTAGAACAATGCATTTGCCCCTCTAATAGCTGTATGCTCTAAGCCAGCAATTCACAGAATACATCTGTGAGATATTGAGTTTGTAGGATGTTAGTGTTACTTGAATATAGGACCAAGTAGTTAAATAAGCATGAAAGCACTGAGTTTAAAAATATCTTTCTTGCAGGACTTCTCAGAGCTTTATATGGTAATCTACACTGTGACTCCCCAAGAGGCAGACAGTTTGATGTAGGACACTACTGTTCATATGGAATTGAAAAGGACAAAACATTTAAAAGGAGAGTTTTGTGGATTTAGAGTTCCACAATAATACTATGGAATGCACTAAGCCATAATTCCTGAATTTATCACAAGTATCCTAGTTAAAAGTCTTTGAAATCTAAGACAAATTTATGAGCAAGCTAAGAATATAATAAGGATGGTAAAAAAAAAAAAAAAAGTCTTATTTTCTTTGTCCCAAGTCAATAAATGTAAATATTTAAAGATTTCTTAAATACGATGAAAATCCTAAAATCTTCAGTTGTAAGCATTTTCTCATAGATCTAATTGTTTATACAACTAGAATCTTGAACAGGAGACAGTTATGAACCTGAGTCTTCTTTTTGCATTATTTCAAAAGCTTGGTCTGATTCCCCAAATCAATTCATTGGGGAACTTCTGCAGCAAGCAGGATTTTGATGAGTATCAGCTGCACAACTGTGTTGAAATTGCCTCGAAGGCAGGACCTCAGGTGCTCCCCGGGGTGTGTGAGAGGCTGATAGTCAGCATGTCCGCCAGGCTACACGACGGGGCAGTAGGTGAGTATTGGCCCAGTGGGCTCTACCAACGCACAGCTTTTTAGAATGTGAATGAATCGTGTTAATTTATTTGAGCATCTACTCCAAACAATCAATGTCAATGACAATTTCCCAATGTTTAGATATACAACAGTGTGTTGATGTGTTGGAATCCCAATGCACAGTACGGTAAGTGTATAAAAAAGGAGCCTTGTGGTAGCATTTGGCTGCTAGGATACCGGAACTATGGTCCTAAAATACTTACTTGGAATCCTGGAATTTTAGGGCTGGAATGAACTCTAAACAACTTCTTTCATCCTCAGACTTCCATTCAGTGAACGAGACTCTTGGGGTCCAAACCCATTAGGTAACTTGTCCATTTCACTAAGCCTTAGGGCTGTGTTTCTCATCCTGCAATTTGGGGCTGAATAATGCTTTGTTGTGGGGGGTCGTCATGGGGGGCTATTCTGTGCATTATAGGAAGTTTAGCAGCATCTCTACCCTCTGCCCACCCGATGCCGTAGCACCTTCCCTCCAGCTATGACATTCAAAAATGTCTTCAAACTTTGTCATATGTTCCAGGAGGCGGGGTTTACAAAGTCTCCCCCCAGCTGAGAACCGCTGCTATAGAGTGACAAGTCCAGTGAGACCTTGGGGTTCCTGAGTTCTGGGCACAGGCTTCTCCCATTACACTGCAGGACTCCGGCTTCAGGGTGCCCACAACCCCATGAAGGAGACGGAAGAAGGGAAATCAAACGATGGTCCAGCACCAACATAGATCATCAGGATCTGAAGGAATAATATCAGTAATACTACATGTACTAATGTATCAATTAGTACAATACTAATGTATCAGAAATACAATTTCTTTTAAGCCTTTCATTAACTTGTTAAGTAACATTTATTGCTAAGCTGTGTGTATTAAGTCATGTTTATTGAGCACTTACTACCTGCCACACAGTTCTAAGTACTTCATGGGCGTTCTTGTCTTTAATCCTTATAATCCCCTGGGGTAGATCCTATATTTTTCCCATTTCACAGATGAAGGAGTCGAGGATGAGAGAAGTACCAAGCAAAAGAGAAGTGAACTAAAGCTCCCAACAGGACTGGGTGCTTCTCTGTCGCTTCCTTCACCTCTAACTGCACTCTCTGGCTCCCCACAGCCTGCAAGTGTCACCGTCAGGGCTCGCGGGGGCCCAGCTGTAGCCGACTTGGGGGCCAGTGCCCGTGCAAGCCTCACGTGGCCGGGCGCTGCTGTGACAGGTGCTCACCAGGAAGCTACGGTTTGGGACATCATGGCTGTCACCGTACGTAGCAAAAAACAGATGGGGGAAGACCTGCATGGTCACAACCTTGGCGTCTCAAAGGCAGGGAAATCAGTGTGGGTCTTTCAAAGAGGAGGGGACTGGGAATTTGACGACATGACTCAGGCTGTCTGTCTATGTAGATAAAATGTATGGGAAAATTTTTCCATCGTATTTCATTCATCCGCTCAGAGGGCACCAAATGGATACAGAGCTCCATTAGTAATCATGAGTGATGGTGCTCGCTTCAACGGCACATATCCTAACATTGGAATGATACAGAGATTAGTGTGGCCCAGGTGCAAGGAGGACACACAAATTTGACTTTGAGAAGTCAAAGAAGGGGACAGCTCTGCCACCTGGATATCAGCCTCTCTGATGCTGGGGTCGCAAACAGCCATGGAACTGATTTTGTAAGCGGCACATTAATATGGGCTTAGATGGGTCTTTGTCCGTACGTGGTGGCAATCCAGTCCATGACTCCCATGTTCAGGGGATATAGTTCTCTGTTCACGCTGTAAGCCATTAGTGAAAATACTGTTCCCCACAGAAACCTGTCTTTGGTGGTTATCTCCAGATAGGTTAATTCTTTCAGGTAAAGGAACAACATATCTTTTTAGTCATGATTCAGAGAGATGGCATACCTTCCTGGTTATTGTCAACCCAGCACATAGTGCTTAGGTCCATGATCATTTTTGTGTCCCTTTCTTAAAAAAAAAAAAAAAAAAGAATGAAGTGCTTGAGATTCACAAAGGGGTATACACAAAGGAGCAAGCCTATCTTCCGCCTCCCACCTTTGTGTAGGGCAGATTGGCTCCAAGGATTCAACAATTTTCTAGAGAAGGATTGAGCCTCTATTATCTCACTGAGGAAAAAGAAAAATCCAACCACCCTGAGAGGGGTTTTTATATTTTTTTAGAATCTTGAAGTTTGACTTGATAATTAGAAGTTCGAGTCACTAAGAACACGCTACTTGTTCAGGTTCTGTGTATAAACAACGCTTATAAGCCCCGATGGCTCACAGCGGATTGTTTATTGGGTGAATGAGGGAATTGTGTGACAAACATTGACCCGGTACTCAGTGCATGCCAGCTTCTCAGACTCACTTTATGTACCTGATCGGGATGCAACAGTAAGTTCAGCTGCTACAAAATCAGGACCGTCACTCATTCCCCCAGCACACCACTTGCCCCCCACTCAGCATGTCCTCTTTCTTTGTCTAGAATGTCACTGTCACCCTCAAGGCTCAAAGAGCCCTGTATGTGACCAAATAACGGGACAGTGCTCCTGCCAGGGGGAGGTGGCCGGCCGCCGTTGTGATCGGTGCCTGCAAGGCTACTTTGGATTCCCCAGCTGCCGCCCTTGCCTTTGTAATGGGTTCACCGAACTTTGTGATCCAGAGACAGGCTCGTGTTTCAATTGCGGGGGTTTTACAACTGGAAGACACTGTGAAAGGTACAGAATCCACATGTAGTTTAATTTTGTTTCTTTTGTTCCGATGTCACAACACTCTCTGAAGGACCACTGAGTAGAAACTCAATGGTATTTCAGTGTAGAATGATTGCTATGGGAGGTGGGGGGAAGATAGAGCGTCATTCCTGGTGTCCTTCAAGATCTTGTGATGAGCCAGACCATGTCTGATTAATTGGCCTGGCACCTTGCTTTTTATGTCCCTGAAATATGACATGTAAATTCACTGCTACTATATTGAGTGTAATGACTATACACCTTGGGACTTTCAATGTAAAGCAAAAAATTACTTCACAGAGTAAGTGAGCATCTTCTAAAATACGGAGTTTTGAGAGTTGCACTGTCCTCAAGCATAGCAAATCCACATCGGCTAATGTGCGCTTTTCCTGGGAACGTTTGGTAAAAAGAAATTGTCTTGCCAGATGCATCGATGGTTACTATGGGAATCCTCCTTCAGGACGGTCCTGCCGCCCTTGCCGATGTCCAGACGTTCCCTCAAGTAGCCAATATTTTGCCCATTCCTGTTATCAGCATCCTTGGAGCTCAGATGTGATCTGCAATTGTCTTCAAGGTTATGCAGGTACGCCGTCTAGTTCATGATGCCTTTTTGCTCCTATCCCGTAGTGCTATCTAAAAAATGATCCCATGTTCATAATTTATCTGCTCTGAACAATTGAGTGGTCCTGAATAGAAATTAATGGTAAGAAGACACAATCTGGTACCTTGCTGCTTTACTGAACAAAGGATTTGAATGATTCAGAAACCAATGACAATGAAGAGCTCATTCCTCAGAGCTATTACTGTTTTTAAATAGTTCTGGAAAACTAACTGACCAAATGAGTTCAAATCAAAATAATTTATTTAAAATAAAACCATCACATGTTAAGTAAGATACATAGGTGATTAAGTAATATGTATGTCTTATGTAACATATAACATAAGCAATTTAAAGTAAAAAATTTTAATCAAATGCTTTCTTTATATAATCCCAACCAGTCAATTTGACTGATATTTAATAAATACAACTTATTTTTTCAGATGTCTTGAAGCACTGATTTGGGCCTCATACAGACACCATAGAAGTCAATTCAATATTTGTGTCTGTCGTTCTACCAAAAATGTTATTTTGAAGAGTTTAAGCATGAGTGTAAACATATAAGGCAAACAGGAAACAACATGAATTCACCTTGATTTAATCATATTTTGAAAATATGGTGCTGCTATTTTCTTCAATGATAGTTACCATCATCATAATAAATGACATGGCTAATTTTTTCTTTTTTACTACCTATGTCTCTACTTCATTCTGATGTCTTCCCACGTAGTTTCTTGTCCATGTCCACTCTGGCTTGGTTGGTCAGTGTTTAATAACTGAGACCATGATTGGCTGATGAGAGCATTCCTAAATGGGATGAACCAAAATGTGGGGGGTAGACCCACAGTTTGAGTACCTAGCTGACCACCGTTCCCCGGTGGTTGGAAGGGTAGCAGGTGGAGGCGTGAAGGGATGGTTTCTCCACACCGTGCTTGATAAAAACACTCTCCAGGCTGCGCACATCAAGAAAACCACTATCACCATCTTCACTGCTAGACCCCCATCTCAGGGTGCTGCTGGTTCACCTCCAGAACCAGGTGAGGGTGGGGGTACCCCAGAGAGAACTGGGGCTGAGATCGGCTTTGGGTCCTGAGGCACACTTGGGTGACCCCAATTATAGAAAGTTCCAGAATCCTGTGCCTACCACTCTGTAGTTTTTTTTAAGGACTAGAATGCATTCCTCACCAAGGGCTTTTTAGTTCTGAATAATCGTTGTATTCTCTGACTGGATAATAAATTAAAATGAATGTTTTAATTCAGAACATTTTTTCCTTCTTCATCCCGTGTGTGACATCTCATTATCCCTTGAAGATCCTAATTATTCTCTGTATCCGTCTCCATTCCCTGCTCCCCCAACACCCACCCCCCCACCACACACAGACACAGAGACAGACACACACACACACACTTCTCATCTCTTTCCCGTGTCCTCTCCCCTCCATTCAGGTAAGCAGTGTGGAGAATGCTCCGCGGGTTTCTACGGAAATCCCAGAATTTCGGGAGCGTCTTGCCAGCCATGTGCCTGCCACAAGAACACGGATGTGACGGACCCCGAGTCCTGCAGCCGGCTGACAGGAGAGTGCCTGAAGTGTTTGCACAACACGCAGGGGCCCCACTGCCAGTTCTGCAAACCGGGTTACTTTGGATCGGCCGTCAATCAGACCTGCAGGAGTAAGTCTGCCTGGCCCCCGGCGGGAAACGTGGCGGCAGAGCGAGGCCCTGCGTGCATGTGCCCGGATTGCCTGCGGATAGGGCTGGGATATTAACAGGCCGATTCCTAGACTATACCTCCGACCCACTGAGTGCAATCTCCAGGAATTTGGGACCAGTTCATCCAGTGTCTTTAATGTATCAGTTGGGGAACCACTGATGCAGGAGAGGGCAAGGGGTTGAGTCTATGATCTAAAAAAAAGAAAAAGGAGGAGGAGTAAACTGCTCATTTTTAGGAGATATTTAACTATTTCAGTTGACTCAAGTCAACGTAGTAAACTGTTTTCAGACTGTGAGTGGCAGGTGGAAAACGTGAGGCTTTCAGTCACCCTCATTGTGAGCTCTCGGAACATAGTCAGCAGAACCACATGAAATCGCTATGTGAGGCGATCAGAAAGAGTTGAATGTGTTCAACCTACTTAGATTCTTTGATGAATCTGAAATATCGTAAGGTGTCTCTTCCTTGAGCCCTTTGGAGAAGCGATTCATACAATGTTTGTGTGGTTTGTGGAATGCCAGGGTCGTCCCTGAATTTACCTGCAGCAATGGCTCTGTTATCCCAGGGTGCTCCTGCCATCCTTCCGGGGTGAATCCTGCTGAGTGTCCCCCTGGTCGGGGAGCTTGCCTCTGTGACCCTGACACTGGCACATGCCCTTGTCTGCCCAATGTCACGGGCCAGGCCTGTGACCGTTGTGCAGACGGATACTGGAACCTGGTCCCCGGCAGAGGATGCCAGCCATGTGACTGTGAGCCCCGGACCTCTCACGGCAGCCACTGTGACCAGGCAAGATGCTCTGAGCTTACCTAGGGCGCTAGAGTGGGAAGGGAGGGGGAGATGCGGTTTCCAAATTTGTAAATAATGTCTTCTTTATGTACTGTTGTTAATTAGTGTTTTTGGACAGGATTGGCCTTATACAGGGATGGAGTCTGCATTTATAAGGAATGAAAAGCACTAAAAAAGAAAACGAGGGTCTCAAGGTCAAGTTTGGCCTCCTTCGGCTTTCTCCAAGCTTCTCTGTGACTGGGGAAGTCAGAATTCATGCATAGCGAAACAGAGACAACTTCTCTTTCCCTACCCTATATGTATGATCACAGGCAAGCTCCAAGAAATTGATCATTAATCAGAATTGATGATTAACCAAAATGAAAATCAATGGGTGCATGCAGAACCCACAGTTCCATTTTTTTTTTTAAAGATTTTATTTATTTATTTGAGACAGAGAGAATGAGAGACAGAGAGCATGAGAGGGAGGAGGGTCAGAGGG